GTTGCCATTTCTTGACTCACCCTTTTGTGGGCAGGGTGAAATTTAGAGAAGGAAGTGGTCACCCCAACTTGACTCACCCTTTTGTGTGCAATGCAGGGCTAAAATTTAGAGAGGGAAGTGGCTATGCCAAGTTCACTCACCCTTTTGTGATGCAGGGGTAAATTGCCATTTCAACTTGACTGACCCTTTTGTGGGCCATGCAGGGGTAAAAATTAAAGAAGGATGTTGCCCTTCCAAGTTGACTCACCCTTTGGTGAGCCACCCGAGGGTAAAATTTAGAGAAGGATGTTGCCATTTCAACTTGACTCACGCACTCACTTTTGCCGATTTGATCTTGATACTCACACCCTGCCTCTACACTTTTCGAACAGGAGGCCGATTCTACCACTCGATGTGTCTTACTCCTGTACATAGATTTCCTGACTTTCGTTTGGCTCTGTATAATTCATTGCATGTTTTTTCCGAGCGCTCGTGGGGGGGAGGCGCTGCGCCCTCCCCCCAACCCCCCTCCCGCGCAACGAAATCTGCAGATAGTATTCAACGTTCCTGCCATGAAATCAGGCTTTTAGTGGAACCTTGGTAAACCTTGCCCACCAAATCTGCAAATGCTATTCAAAAGTCTTGCGACGAAATCTGACTGTAAGCGGAACCTTGCCTGTTGAACATTAAAGCTGCTGTTATTCTAGACAAAAAAGCCAATCAGCCAGGAACCAACAACTTAGTATGACACACAGGAAGATTTGAGCGGAAACTTGACTTTTAAAAACTAAAGCTGCTGCTGTTGTAAAAAAGAGGCCAGAAAGCCAGGAAGAGACAGGAAACGTGATTTAATATAATGCATTACAGAATTGACAAAATGTATGAAATAGAATGAAATTACTCCAATAATCAGAAAAGAAAAAACCATCAAACATTTAATCACTCACGTTAGTTCAGAAAAATGTAGTACATACCTGAAAGCGTTAGCCGTGTCTGCTCATAGGGGGAGGCGCGTCCCCCTCCCCACAAGATTCCTGCCACGAATTTCGACTCTGAGCGGAAACTGCCTGTTAGCCAGGAGGCCAGGCAGGAGGAAAGAGATTAGTATACAGGCCGACGCCCAGCCCAAAGAGGGTTCGTGGTAGAATTATTATTTTTTGATTAAGTAATTCGTTTTTTATTGATCCCCTTGAATAATTTTTTATTGATGCGATAAATAGTTTTTTTTGATACTTCACCCGATCTATGAGGCAGTGAACCCCAACTCAGACGTGGACGAAGAACATCACTTCATATTGAGCAGAGATTTGATGGTGGGAGAGCAGGACCTTTCGTTCGCTTTCGACGGGAACAGCTGGAGCGTTGACGACGCGATGTTCGTTGATGGGGAGTTTTTGGTCCCCCTGCTGTAATGCTCCGATGTTTTCCTAAGTCCCAAGAACACCAGATGGTGCGCTGGGCTACCAGGAGAGCGGCTGGTGTGCCGATTTGGTGAGAAGCCCACCACTCTGGGAGGACAAGAACACTGAGATTTGGGACGCTGGGATGGGACAGACTGGGGACCCGGGAGCCCATGGGAGAACCCAGGAACCGAAATATCAAGGCCTGTTGCCAAAGGGACTTGATTCACCAGACGCCAGGTACATCAGCAGTGCATGCAAAGTCATATATGTAGAGGGCAATGCAAGGGCAGCTGGGATCAGTTGGGTGCATTTGGAGGTCCAAACAGGGGAAATGGATGTAATTGGATGTATATGGCTTATTAATGCATATAATATATGTCAAACAATGTATGTTGTAGTGGGATTGTGTTGTTTGTGTTGCTGTTTTAGTTATTTGTCTATGATTATCTATGTATGTTGATTTTGTTGTTTTGCTTTTGTTGCTTTTGCATTTGCTGTTTTTGTTTGCATTAGTTGTTTTACATTAATTGTTGCCTCTGCATATACATATTAATATATCTAACTATTACTATGCTGATCTATGCTGTGCCTGCCACGAAAACTCAGCTGTTTGTCGACCACGCTGCACTGTGTGGATGTAGAGGATGCGATGCCCAAAACGTTGTAAATACCAACAGAATGTCAAGACAGGACACCCCAACTGCTGCTCCAGCAGCGAAATGTGATCCTCAACTGCTGACATGGCAGGGGAGTGCATGTCCAAAGGGTTGTAAACAGGAAGCCCAAACTGCTGTAAATAGCAGCGAATTGTGAGTCTTCAGGATGAACAAATCACACAAAAGAAAACACACAAACGAATCAATTAATCGGCACCCTTTATTTGACAGGTCATTCCATCTTTAGAATCTTTTGGGTTTCTTGGCCCTCGTCTTACTTGGACGGCCCAGGATCCCGATATGTCCGAGGGGCTTTCCTTCTTGTACGGCCGCATCTCGGTGGGCTGCGAGGAAAGCCCAGCGCCTGGGCTTCAGCTCCGAAGGATGATATTTTGTGCTATTCCCAGAATTGCTTACCTTAAGCCGAGCCAGGAAACCCACCGTTTTACCTGAAGCCCAGAGTTTCCGTCTCCAGAACCCACCCAAGGCCTCCAGAGTCTCCAGTACTGTTTGGTGACCTTCATCGGACCCGGCTCGTGACCTTCACCCGGCTCGTGCGATGGTGAGGACAACGACCCCGGACGTTTATCATGGGACTGAAATCGGACGCACCAGATCCGTCGGGCAAAAACCAGCGTTCGTCCCAGTCGTGTTGAGGTTTAGATGCCGATCTAGTCAGTTGCAGCAAATGGGTCATTGGTTCGACCAGACGAGAATGGTTTGGTCGCAAGTTTCGGATGTGGGCGGAATGGGGGTGATGGTGGATGGCTTCAACCCAAAGATACCTTTGACATCCTTTGACTGACATAGAACCCGAAGATGGACTAGAAGGTCCTGGAAGAGCATGGTCCTTTGCAAGAGGTGAGTGAATGCCAGTAGGCAAGGTTCCGGTATGTTCCGGTGGTTCCTAGTGCCCCACAAAGCCACAAAGCTGATTCTTGATGGGGGGGTCGAAGATCCTCTAACAGCTGTGTAATCCTGCCCACCTACTGTATTAAAAAACACGCCGCCCCCCCTATTAAGAGAAACTCGGTCGCATTTTTTAAATAGGGGGTCCTGAAATCGGGGGGTCCAAAATGGGTCACCTGGGAAGAGCTTCAAAACCAAAAAGTCATCCAGAAAACAATTATATAGAATGATAAAATCCTGTTTTAAACTCGTATCAAAAGTTCAAAAAACCTCCAGATCGAAGGGTTTTCCTTTGACTAACAACCAAAGCTTTCGAAAGGTGATGTCGCTGTGCCATGCGGTTTTGCACGACCTTGGTGGAAAGTGCGTTTGCGTGAGTCCGTGCCATTGGAGGAAGGAAAACCTGCTGGTGTAAACGCGCCGTGTCATGGTGGATACACAGGGCGGACAGATGTGGGCAGTTACGGTTGTTTTTGGAACCTAATAAAAGGAAACTACCCCCAAAATCGACCATGTTGGTAGTTCAGTAGTGGCTTGAAAAGGCGGTAATTTAAAAACAAACATAAATCGAATTTAGGGCTTTGGACTGCTGCACAGGTGTCATGTGTGAAAATTTACGGTTCCTTGCAGTTATAGACCTGGGTGAGAAGTAAGAACTCTGCCGTGCCACGACTGGCTCAGCGGGGAAGTGCTCCCTGGACCTTCCTCATGTGGTCCGCCCAAATTGACCTACCCAGCCAAGTGGAAGTTCCTGGATGCGGTGCCGCCCCACTCAAAGCGAGCAGGTGGAAAAGGGTTACTCTCCCTGGAACTAACATGGAAGTGAAAAAACACTTTGTTTGGAGAGGAAAATAATGGAAAATAGTTTTCCATGGGACCATTTTCCACTTCAATGCTAGTTCCATTGAGTGTAAATAACATTTTTTTCAAGGGATTTCCGGTTAAGTTCTTGGTGTCAAAAAACCTGGCATGAATGCTCACACTGCAGTCCCTTGCAGCCCAGGAAGGCAAAGCGATCTTGAAGATCCAACAGTACTCTTGCCGTGAAATGGTGCCCTTCTCCACTATTTGGGCCAACGACCCGGCGCCCAGCAAGAGGCTTGAAGACCAGGTACCCGTGTCCAGGCGGGCCAAAAAACGGTGTTTTAAGGTCCTCTTTGATTGGACATACACAAACAACAACCCGTGGCAGATCTACCCATTTCCGCAAATGCCAAAGACATCCAAAGACGGTCCGTACGCCGAGTGCCCTGTTTTGCTACCAGGCTGGGTGGCTGCCCCTTGGAAGTTGTAAAACAACTTGTGCCACATTTGCAGTGGCAGATGCATCCCTCATCCCCCGCCCCATGCCTTCGGCGCCGGCACGCCAGGTTCGAGTATTCTGAGTTTACCTGCAGCAATCCTCTTCAAGCATTGCCCAGCCTTCTTCATGTCGGACCCATCCAGGCGCACGCTGACGGGCACGCGTGGGGGGGGGGTTCAGTGATGCCGGAGGTGTTCATCGGTGAAGGTGAACTCGGTTTCGGTTTGAGGCAGGCCTGCACTGCCGTGATCTGCCGTGCACACCTGAACTTGAGCCTTAACACGTACGGAACCACGAAACGAAGACAACACGTGAACAAAAGAGAACAACCATATATATATATATATAACTATGAGTCATGTAAATGCATGGAGCATGGGCATGTACATAACTTTTACATCTATAATATTTCTAATTACATATATACTTTGGTGGTGTTTGTTCTGTTTACCAATGTTATTGTCCTCAGTTCTTTTCGTTCGACATTTGTTCAACCGTAGGTGCTGTCGGAAGTTGGCAGCTTAGAAGAGGCCACCAGCGCATGCGATGGACAGGACTCCTGGTTTGCTTGGGGTGAGTGGGGATAGGGATGAAGGGCTCCAGACACTTCATTGGAGCTTACTTGTGTGGTTTATTGTTTCTTGGCTTGAGAATTTAGAGTGTATGTTGCTGCCCAAGCAGGCCCTTGAACCTTATTCGAATCATGTTTAACCATTATGGCATGGTTGTTCAAGATGTTGATTTCCTGGCGTTGGATTTGATGATCAGGTGATTTTTTTTGGCACAATTGCATTGTTGGAGATATTCCATAGCGCGTTGCTTTTGCCAAGCTGTCTCAATGGTTAAAATGTAAATAGATCATATGCTGGGTTCCAAGCATTTTCAGGCCCTGAAAGGCCGGTCACTTCTTCAGGTCACTCGATCCATCTGGATTTCCAATTCCGTGGATCGAACTCAGTTCCTCAAGAGATTTCTTCAAGAGGCTGACATGAGCAACCCAGAGGCGCGGACCCACCAATATCCCCCGTTCTAGAGAGTGACACCGGCCCAAACAGCTTGTGAACTGACGTTTGTCGTGGAGTAAGAGCCAGCCTTAACTTTTGACCGCACACAGGGGCCGAAAAAGGGTTCTACATTCTAGCAGCCGTTTTGTTTTCTTTTTTTTTTAACCAGACTTGTGACTCGGGTACCATGCTTGTGAATTAGGTCAGGGGTCAGATTTGTAATCCCTATTCTCTATACAATTGATTTGCACCTCCAAGGAATCCTGCCAAGCTGTTGCCATCGAGGGTGGGCCACCTGGAAGGTGATGATTGTTCCGAATGCTTTGCACAGATCAGATTCTATTTGTTTGAGATAGATTTCAAACAGGGGGGTATTTGCGCGATTTGACACATACATACTGAAATGGATGTGCTTGAAGAGTAACAGAAGAAACGCACCAGCGGGGAACTGTGGGGCCATTGAGAGCCTGTCAAGTTGAGAAAAAGCACATTCACCACTGGTTCCACACGCAAAACTCTTGTTATGTTCAACTCTCATTGACACCTGATTTCCATAGAACAGAACGTTGATTGACCAGCTTCAAGTGCTTATATAATCTTATATACAGATTTGTTGGAAAAAGACCGATGGAAATCGCCTGATCTGCCCACTGCCCACCCTGCCTACCTGTCTCAACATTTGCGCTGCCTTGGTGATCAAACCCACCAAGGCAGCGCTTCCACCTCCTCAATGCCTTCACCTGCCCTTTGCCGCCGGATGGCCTCGCCGGTGCCGAATTCCACACCGGCGACGCGGTCCGCTTGCGCCTCTCCGCGAGCTCCGCGGCGGAGACGGCGGAGCTCGCGGTGGAGGGGAAGGTGTTGGAAGACTGGAACCTTCAGGAGCGCCAGGAGGGAATGGTTTTTGGACTGCTGGGCCATATGGAGCGTCTCTTCTTTCGGCAGGGAGTTGTTCAAACTGGACCTGCTGAAATTGGACGTGATTTTTCAACCAACCAAAAATCACTTGAACCAGCTCCACTTTGAGCGATTGTTCTACTGTGTTTTTTTTGTATCTATTTTGTTATTGCTATTTGTTTAAAACCTCTTTGATGTCATAGAATGATTCCTCTCCCTAACATGGTGTATTCATTTTTTCTGTTGGATTCCTAGGATGATTCTTTGTTGGAATGACTGCTATAGGATGATTTTTTTCCGTCAGGATGACTGTCTACTAGTTCCCCTCTAATAGTTGGTTTCTTTGTTGGTGCCTGTCTATGTGTCCATCTTTCAGCGCCCAGTGGGGGCCCATGGCTCTGCAAAGAAGCGTTTGGTGGCTTGAGGTACCTATATGTATATCATATATCACATATATCTGGATCTCAGCTAAGACTCCAAGACTTGGCGCTTTTTACACAAACATGTGTTTCTATAGGTTTTGTGATGGCGCACTTGCTCACCAGCAGTGCTTGTTTACCTGAAGGCGCCGTATACTTGATGTGGATTCGATGAGGATCGGACCGCAAATCACCGCAAACTCCCGAAAATCCCAGGGGAGCAACCCAGACACTCCATGGGACTGCCGATCATGTATGCCATAGGACTGCCGATCAATTGACCCCCCAAAACCACCCCAACTCATCAACATATATGGCAGTCCCATGGAGTGTTTGGGCAACATCAACATCATGCCCCCGTTTTTGGAGGGTGTCCGCCGACCGGAAGGGGTGCACTGAAGGAAGGCGTGGGGGATCCTTCGCCCAAATTTTGGGGTTTTTGGTGGAGCTGTTTTTGGTTGGAGCTCATGCCGTTGGAGCTCATGTCGAAATTTTTGAGGTCTGTGAGGTCTTGAATGTCAGAGGTTTGCAGGGCTTCCTTTTCTGTGTAACCACTTCCTTACCAGATCATGGGGATCCGCCCAGCCAAAACTCCGCTGCAAATCTGCAGGACTTGGAATCTGAAGTCTTCGTACAGCTGCTCGAACTGCACGAGAGGCGAAGATCGCCCGAGTGTGACCGGTTTTCAGTTGCACCCTGCCGCACCCAAAAAACATCAAAAAACGACGCGGAGGGCTCGCTTGGATGCACATGGAAAACCAAAGAAAACCCTTTCAAGAGAGTAAGCTTCGGGGCAAAAACTCCAGTGGAAGAGCTGTCGGATTTGATGGAGACTCCGAAGTACAGCGTTATGCAGGTGATCCGTGCGCACAGCGGCCTCCGCCGAAAGGGCACCGAGAAAGGCTTGATGAGGCCAGGGACCGAAAATGGGCCCACCCACCCGCACGATCTGAGGTTTGCGGATCGGGCGGAGTATGTCTTGCCAGAGCACCTGGTGAAGGAGAAGGAGTCACACTGGGTTTGCCGATCCGTCGATCATCGCAGTCACAGGTCGGTCAGTCGCTGGAGGTCATGGTCGCTGGGTTTCACGAGACAAATGCTGAAAAAGATCGGACCGGTCCAAGACTGGTGCTTCATGGTGGTGAAGTTTCGAGGGATCACGGGCTAAGACCTCGCGTCCGCGAGGTCTATACAGATAGCTGCATCCAAGCCCAGGAGTATGCAACCTCCTGGGAAGTCTTGCAGAAAGTCCGCAAGCGGAAGGTCTTTTGTGAGAGTTTGCTGCAGCATTCCAGCTGTGACATCTACAGCAAGGTGGGGGTTGAGATGGGCAACGGCTTGCTCGGGTTGATTGAGCTGCATTCGGGGTTTTGAGTGAAGCAACCCTGGGAAGAACGCTTAGCGCTGAATGCCCTCGCTGAACATTTCAGAATTAGTGCCTGAAGGATGAGTCTCTATCACTTTGCCATAGCCATCGCTGAAACGACACCATCCAGAGGATCAGCATTGAGCTTGGAACAGCTACCAGTTCATTTTGTGAAGCCTGTCACCTCCTTCGTCTCGCCGTCTTGACTTCTTTTTTGGCCTCCGGGCTCTGGTTTTGGGCGCCAGGCAATGGCAGAGAAACTTTTGGACGGCGCCACGCCCTCCAGCTGCCAAGAGGCCTGTAGCGAGCGCATGGCAGCCATGCCCTATTTACGGAGCTGTTGCTCGGCTTCGGGACGCCGCATAACTCCGTTGGTGTCCAGCAAATCGATTTCACCCGGAAGCAATTGCCACAGGGAGTGGGTAGCCTGCCAACTTCCTCGCTGCTCAGGTTGTGTTCTTTCGGATGGCATTTGCGCTTTGACCAAAGGTGAGCTCTTTGAACTGGAGGATGAGGACAGGAAAAAGTTCACGGAGTGGGCTGGCGAATGCTATCAGGACCGACGGCGGTCCGCATGAGTATCGCATCGCACCAGGTTTCCTGCGCACCACCGGGCTAGTTTGCACAACAGGTTTCAAACCGGAATCATCAGTCTGCTTTAAAGCATCCCTCTAAACTCCCCTAAACTAAAACGAAATGGTGCACCTTGTTCTTCAAAGTGATCTTTTGATCCCTTAGTTTGGGGTCACGCCTGTAAAAGGTCACTCTATGGGGACTCCAAAGGGGTCGCGAACTGAAGAAGCTGGCATGTGCTTGGACTAGTTTGCTAAGTCCATGTTGCACATCCAAAAACAACATGAAACAACTCCTTCAACTGTTCTTCTCACGCATCCTCACGACCTGCTTGCTTTCTTTTAAAAAAGCCTTCTATCCCTCCGGCTCCAGTCCAACCTCCTCAGCTTCGGTATGACTGGACCCCTCCTGGCACCTCACGAACCACCTCCCGAACACCGCCCGATGGTCCGGAGGGACGTCGCCAGGGCCGACGAAGCCAGGAGAAGTGCTCCCTAGATCCTGAGTGCGCCGTGGGCAAGGGCGACGTGCCTGCGGCGGGTGCACATGGGCAAGAGATTCCAGAAGGTCGCGAATTCCGCGGTGAGGTAGAAAGACAACTTACATGGAGTCCCAAACACACTGACGGGCAAGGAAGAGTCAGGCGACGAAGACAGGCCGTAGGCCATTGATCTACTTTGCACAGCTAGGCCAATATCATTTGCACAAAGCACATTGGATCACTTTATTACTAGTGCTGGGCATCAACGCACTGGATCACATGAGAGCAACTTCCCGTTGGGCCAGGCACTCTTTTGTTCGACTTCGCTCATCCCTTGAGCACGCCATTCACACTGGTGCCTCGTTTCCACAGATGACATCATTTCTCATTTAGTTCTCGCCCCCAAGGAAATCCCGTTAGGGTAGCCTGTTCTGTGGCTAAAAGATTTGGGGTGCCATCCCACCCATGAAGATATAAACAGGCCACCACCAGATGTTTTGTTTACTGACATGTGTTCGTATACCACCGCATGGAGATGCCGCATTTCCACAGTCAGGATCCGTCTCAAGGGTTGATCTACCACGTGGCGGCCAAGAAGAACGATCGACACGTTTTGGATGCCATGAAGGACGCACGTTGATGGGAAGACTCCTAGGGAGCTTGAGAGCGGAACGATCGACACGGTTGGGACCTGGTGTTCAAGAGTTCTTCGTGTTCCTTTGTGCACCGACTGGGAACTCAAGTGCAAAAACACCGTTGCGAAGGTGGTTTCCCCCGCTCGTCCAAACTAATGGGGGGACCGTTTTAAATAAAGCAACCACCATGCAAAACAAGTCTGGGTTCCTGGGAGGATTCCCTTGCAATTTATTTTTGTATGTATTTTCCTTTATTAGATCATTGAGCTTTGATGAAGAACATAGAGAAACCTTTTTTTCATTTGAAGGGAGGGGTGAGTGTAGGTGGACAGTTTCAGAAGAATCTAAAGCGTTTACTACTTTGAAATACCAAAAGCATAGGATCCCAGAAAAGGTTAGCACAATAGGTGGACCTTAACAAATCCGTGGGGTTGGCGATGCTTATTGTTTATTTCAAAAAATCGCTTTAAAGACAAATTTGTCCTCGCTTTAAAGACAAATCGCTCTATTGCTGACCCTATTACAAATCCACGATCCAACATTAGCAAGCATTTGTAGATTTTGTAAGCCACTGATAGGAGAGCTTGACAATTAAGGCAGTCCATTTCCAAGTGTACATTCCAGAGGAGCCGGGGACGTGTCAGCATTCTGCTGGCGAGGACAAGAATCGACTCCTCCGCGTGGTGGGCCACGCGGACTCCACAGCTGGTCATGAGAGAAGAGCGCTTGGGAAGTGCCCTGGATGTTCAAGGAACATTGGAAACAAAAACATATACAAAGTTGCATAGAGTTACTATGGTTACTAATAGTTTTGAAGAGGCTAGGTTCTAGATTTGTCTTCTGACTAGTTGATGTAACATGATGTAACATCCACCAAGTCATTGACCCTTGGCAGGCGGATTCGGCCGAACAAGACTTCAGCACGGGCAAGCCTAAGTCGACGGTTGTTGCCTTTACTGTAAGCAGGAGAACCAAAGGCCAGTTCATCAGTGACTTTGGATCAAGCAGTATACAAGAACAAGGTGCTCCATCAAGAGTTGATTAAGAATTGTAGATTCATAAATAGATTGTAACCCAAACCTGCCTTTTACTCTTGCTCCTTTGGGTTTTGCTTGTTGCTCCCACCAGCCGATATCGGAAACACGACGACGACAACGACGACGACCCAATTTGCCGACCTGGTGCCTTTGTTTGGAGCACAGGTTGCCCAAGAACTTGCAGGAATTGAACCCGAAGGCCGCCTGACGAAGATGTTTCTGAGCATATTTTCGACAGTGAGAAGCACAGTTTGGTCGAAGATGACGGGTTCCCTTTTTTTTGGCAGTGGATATCATATAACAGAAAATTGTACATATAACTATTGATGAATGTAGTGGTTGCATCCGGTTGCAGTTGATGTCCTCGATGAGTTGGTGTCCTCGAGCGCAATGTCACTGAGCATGTTAAAGTAGTATTTTTGTACCATCCAGAAGTCCAAGAACAAGAGCACCGGTCCCCACTCTCATTCCAGACATTTGAATCAAGTCTTTGATGGTTAGGATGTGCCATTTTTTTGCCCCATTCCCTGTCACAGTTGTGACCCGAACTCCAAGAACAAACGAACTTGTCAATCGCTTTGGGACTTCCGAGCTTTCTGGGCCATCCGAGCTTGACTCCGACTCATGACATTGGCCATGGTTCAGTGGAACTCTGACTAGCCTGGACCATTTGGATCGGTTCCAAAACGTTCTGCAGGGGTACATGGCGGTACCATGTTTGGTCATTTGGGGTACTTGTATCTAATATGAATATGATTGAATATGCATTTCAGAATCCAAATGCTATAAGCACTACCCATACACTCCATGTATGCCGTATATGCCTACATTGACCCCCCAAACCATCCCAACTGATCGGCATACATGACATACATGGAGTCTATGGGCTATAGCTTTGACCCCTGTTCTGCGGCATGTTCTGTGGCCTTTGGGGAGGCTTCGGCCAGACTGGCCAGAGAGGCGGAGGCCTCCCGATTTGGCCACGCAGAGACGGATGTTGGCCAGGTGAGGAAGCACTTGGCAAAGATCCAAAAGAACTTGCAGGAGCAAAGACGTTGGATCTTCAAAAAGAGAAGGGTTTTCCTTCGACCCGAAAAACGAGACGGTGGGGCGACTATAAGTCATATCCTAAGATCGTGTTTGGTGAGGCTTTGACGCTTTGAAGTTGGATTCTGGGAACCTCAATCTTCAGTGCCCAAGGTTCGGTTTCCATCCAAATCGCTCCGATGCTTTGACCAGCCGAACCTTCGCTCATGTGTTTTTTTTTGGATTGGAGGAGAGGGAGGCTGTTTTCTCACCTCCACGGCCGAATGAAAAAAGCCAAGTCGCGACATGGAACTCCAAGTCGCGAGGTCGGGTCGATGTTTTGTAAATGGTGATTGCATTATTGCTTAGCAGATGTGAACAGGTTGGAGCGGTGCTGTTGCTTGGTGGAGCGGTTGCATGCTCAAGGTTGAAGAAGGTTGGCACTTGTAGGTGCTAGATGGATGTTCCGTCGCATGTATTGTCGAAGTATCACACATGTACACGTAATTTCACTCACTGAATTAGTTTCACCCAAAACATTGAAGCACGTGTTTTACCTGGTATTTGAGTGAGTTTGGCTCTTTCTTCCCGGGTCTTTTTCCATGTTTTTGTGGATTTGATCCGCCATTGTTTTCCAGGAGAGCTGCGATCGGCTGAGCGCCACGGTGGGCCGTCGCTTCTTGGCCCCCAACCTGGTGGAGGCCGTGGCCTCCGACGCGCCGCACGGCTGGACCGGGGGGGGGGGGGGGGGGGGTTGGGAGGCCCCAGAAGGACAGTACCTATTCCCATCCGTACTGGTAGGGTCAAGGGTGGGGTGGGGCGGCATGGCTGGTGTTTTGGGATGTTTTGAAAGCGCCACTCATGGGGTGAGCCATTATGGGCAGACTAGACTTATGTCAGAAGCCAGACTCTTGAACGCTAATTGTCATACTCCTCCACAAGAAGAAATCCGTTTGCATCTTTAGGGGTTTCGGATGGTTGTTTTTTTTTTTTTTTTTATGGCTCTTCCTTGGGGTCTGTCCAATTACCTGTAACAGTCAGTAAACAATGATACCGTATATTACCATTTTAGAACACCATCATCATCCGGGCCCAGGTAGACTCGGATGGACCCAAGGGCTTTCCCTCTCCACCGATCTGCCCTCTCCTCTTCTTCTTCGGTCGTGCCGAGGATACCGAGTCACCTGAGTCACCTGAGGTGTGAAACTCATCGCTCACGACATTCCATGGAAAGCTGCGTGGTGAAGGCTGGCTGCCGAGCTGAAAGCCCGGAGGAATCCAAGCACCCGGACTGGATGCCTTTTTCTCCACTGGAATTCTCACAACTCCCTTATGACTCTTGGATTGAAAAACAAGAGAGATAATATACCTGTTGGATTTCAAGTCCTTACATGTCCTTACAGGTATAGAATGACCCAGCAAAACCTGGTCCTCAACAAAACCTCATATTGAATCCTTTTGAATAGTTTTCTAAATGTTTTATTATATATGTAAAAAATGCAATTATTGATCAACTTCAGCAGTACAAATGACGTCCAACTGACCTGGTACGGACTAGTTCTTCACGGCCTGGACGGTTTTTTTTGGAGTTTCTCCGAGGATTTGTTGGCCTGGCAACGGCCGGTGCCCTTCTGCTGTGCTTCGGCCTACTCCCTGGACGAGCGCCAGGAGCGGATGGCGCGAACACTGCTTGAGCTTCTTGGATGAGACCCACATGGCTCCACATGAGCAAGCACTTGTATTTAGGCTTTACTACGGTGGTCTACGACATGCTCTATTTGCTTGTCTATCATCAGCATTCGCTTGTGAACGAGATAGGCCCCCCACATAAACGAGATACTTTTGTTTGATGTCACTAAAGTAGTCTGAACGAGATAGTGTGATTTGCTACTAAAAGTAGTCTGAGCGAGATACTGTGACATGACCTGCTTAAGTAGTCTAAACGAGATAGGGCCCTTTGAGCCAAGTACCACCATGCCGTTGCACACGTTCGGCCGAGGAGTGGTGGAGACAATAGATCATGAGTTGAATATACATGTTCATGTAATTTCATGTATCCCAGACACTCCATGTATGCCATATATGCCTACATTGGGGTGGTTTTGGGGGTCAATGTAGGCATATATTGCATACATGGAGTGTTTGGGTATATTTCTATGTGTTTTTTTGTTTGGTCCCATTTCCTTTGCATATGTTGTGTGATGAATATTTGCAGACCAGTTCCGGGAAAAGACGACCAATGTGACGATGCATATATACTTGTTTTTGATTCAGTCCACCTGCCGGTCGGTGCCACCCAGACAGGTTTTTTGGGTGTCGATCCGACCATTTTTGGAGGAGGCCAGCCATGAAGAGAGCTTGGAAGCATACTTTCCCAGAAGGTGTGAGGTAGTGACTGTCTCGAACTTGGCCCCTGCTTCTGCCAGTCTAAGTATATAATTACACCTCTTGTGTGACTGTGGAGGTGGTGTAGCATGAAATGGTTTGTAAAGGAAGATTCACCCTGCCCACAGAGCCGGAAAACCACTTGCGGCCCTGTCTCTTCTACTTTGACTACCTCGTGCATGATGGGGCCAGTGTTGTCGAACAGCACCGAGGAAGGCGGACGTGAAAGGTGTGAACCTCAAACGCATCGAGGACCGCAGCGTGCGCGCCAGCTTGAAGGACTCGGTAGCTACTGGCGACTGGGGCCTCTCAAGGGAAGGAAGGGGGAATGAGGGGTGGTGACCCTGCGGGTTCTTTGTCCAACAGCTCTGGCATGCTATGGCTTATGTGGAAGGTCAGGTTCAGACCCAGTTGCACAGCTTTATTTCTAGAGAGGATTGACCCGACTGTCTAGCAGATGGGGTGACTCCCAGGCTATCCAAGGCGCTGCTGTGGTGTTGACCGTTTCTCCCTCCTGTGCCAACGAAGAAGTGGAAGTGGACGTTCAAAAAGCCGGCCTCGAAACGAAGAACATATTTTGGGCTTGTTTGTCCTATATACAATTTTAAAGATCTGGTTTGCTGTGTTTGTCGGGCTCAGATGATGGCACAAAGGACTTGTTGTCTTTGATTTCTAGGCACTGCGGCGCTCAAGAAGATGTTGAATCACCACGTGAGCAACGATGAGGAGCTCGACTGGCTGGGGCAGATGGCACCTTGGCAGGCCTTGGCAGGTGGCAGATGCCCACATTATGCCACAAATGATTGGATCAGAAGCTCTTCTTGGACCCTCACCAGCTCCCAAAACGGAGTCAACCAAGTAAATCCGTTGAGATGTTTTACAATTCTTAGATATTCTATGATATTCTTAGTGGGCATAGTGGGTGGTGACCTCCAATGAGATCAAGTTGAGGAGCTTACTTACTTCCTTGAGCCAAATCTGTTGGCCCCATCATTCTATATATATTCATAATGTATTTGTTACTTTAATAAAGAGATGATTATGCATACAATGTACATTACGGTAATTATACATTACATCTGTATTACTGGACATACAATGTACCACTCTTAAAGCTTTCAGCGTTTTATGCTTTCCTGTTCTCCTACTCCAAGTGCCTTAGTCCAAGGTCCGTACTGCCTTGGATCAGTTCAAGAGTATCCTCTCCGATTTGCAGGAGCCGCCGACCGGCACCTCTTCTCTGATCGTTCCGTTTACGGCGGCCAATGAAGGCATCAGTCACTATAGTTCACTATAGGTTCACTTTCGGTTCCTAGCGATGCGCCGTGTTCTTTCTTTTCGCGAATGGATTCTGCTTCGATGCAGATTGAACACGATCCACGCGCCCAAAACCGAGAAATCATATCGGTAATGGGTCAGGAGAAAGGTCCAATATGGCCCGCTTGATGACTTGAAAGATCCTGAAAACAAAATAGCAACATGTCTACATCCATACACATTCCCATCCACACCTGTGGACAGAACCGGTAGAACCACCTATAGCATGCCAATATAGCAAACCCTTTGCAAACCCTCCATTCATCCTGAGTGCTTTTCTCTCCTCAAGCAACCCATCCTCCTTTTGTTCCGCCCGCCTCGCCCGCTTGCTTCCGCCTTCTTCCGCCCATCCGGAGCCGCCGGACGCCTTCCGCGTGAGGAGACGGTGGACACCGAGTCCTCGAATGACCTGGAGATCTCGGAGGATGGCACCACCTTTTTGCAGGTGCGACACGACAGTGACACGACAGTGACCGGTACGACCTGACAGTGTCTGCAGCAGACGGTCGGTCTGAAGTCACCCACCGGTGTCACGGCAGTCTGAAGGAACCCTTCAGACCGTGCGGAGAGATTCTCTGGTGATCTGATGGGCCCGAGATGTCAGGGTGTCAGAAAGTGGGATCATATCCCTGAAGGGATACTTATATATAGGTACCATCTTGTACCCATGATTCTGAGGTACGAACTGAGACTCCAAGTGCCTGCCTGTTCATCTTGAACATGACTAGGGGATCTTAACGAATGCCACGCACAAATTCCAACGGTTGGAGGCAAGCTTCATTTTGCCCACTTGTCCTTCTTTTCGTGTCGAACAAGTGTTGAATCCGTTGCATGTGAAAGAAATGGTCGCTGTAGGGAAGTGGAGCAATCAGGCGCACATAGTATATGGATAAGTTTACCATTATTGATCACCAGTTGTACATGGAGGTGAGTGAAGGGAGACGGTGGAGTACCTCTTGTATGATCTGAGATGCTTTCCATCAGCACGTCGAAGCAAAACCTGCCACTACCTGGGACAAGGTTGCAACTACCTTTGATACAATTCATCAAGAACTATCCAGTCTCGAACACTCCATGTATGGAGTGATGCCCACATTAACCCCTTTTCAACCACCCCAACTGATATATATATGTACATATACACATATATAATTATAGATATGATATGTCAACATATATATATATATACGACATACATACTTGTGCAGTATATGTGCATATACATATATGTTTATATTTATAGACTAATCATATCGTTACATGATCCGCACGCCTCCCCTTTGCGCGCTTGGGCGCATGGAGGTCTGTGAGCATGGTGACCAGATCACGCCGAGCGGCAAGAACGCCACTGTGGTGGCCCGATGGTCGCCAGAACACCAGGCATTCCTGCAGATTGACCCCGGAAATGCGCTGAAGCACCTCGGAGTGAACTTCTGGGAGAGGCGAAGAGACCTTCTGCAAGTCAGGGGAAGAGACCTTCAGAGCCTCTCGCATCCTCACATAGCAACCCAGAGGGCAGCCGATGGCAGTAAGTAGACTCCAGGGACGCCCGCCTCCGCCAAGGACCGTGTGGAACGTGATCGCCTCCGTACCAGGCACAGCATGGCACAGAGTTCACTTGGTCAGGTCAGAGTTCAGCAGGACACAAGTGAAAAGTGGATCCACTTCTCCATTGCATAGCTGTTTCTTCTCAGGTGGGCAAATTGGATGGTAGGTGGGTCCTGTGGATCCGGATGGATCCACTGGTTCGAAAGGTGGACTGTTTCGAAGTCGCCGGGTCTCGGTGATTTCTGCATGGTCAGGAAGAAGTGATCGGGTGATTTCTGCATCAGAACATCCATGGGGTTCAGTTGCACATGCGTTTCATGGCTAGACGGTTTCATGCATTCGGTGCCTTGTCCCTTTGGACAACCCTAAGCCAACAACTAACACCTGGTGGGAGAGTATTAAACCCCCATGTTAAAAGAACAACACAATAAGTTAGAATAAGTTAGAATAAAATACAACGACAACGTCAAAATGTGGCATAGGGAAAGGCAGAGGGTTTTTTACACGACTACCAGGTATTCCCAGGTTGCTTCTGGTTCGTGCGGGATTTCGGCCACCTGCCAATGTTTAGGTCTGTCACGAAGTGTCACCAGCGAAGCGTGCAGTACAAACATTGTAGTGAGTTGGAGCCCAACTTGATTCGATGTCTTGATGGCTTCTAGATTCTCCATGCTTTCAGCTTCCAGGATTATAAGACTGCCTCACCCTTCCAGATGTGCGCCACTTGCGTCAATTTGCCTCCAAGCCGCGATCGCGTGGCCAGGTGCAGTGTTCCGCTACGGCCTGAAGCCCTTGTGGAACTTTGTGGCCAAGCCATTGTTACGACGCTGGGTGAACATTTGTGAAGGAATTCCACACCGTGTGCCGAGTCCACTTCTGCCACCTTTATACATATGTTGTTTTTATGCATTGCATGTCTTTGGAACTAACAGAAGTGGAACACCACCCCCCCCTGTTTGTAGAAAATCGTCCAAGAGGCCATGCAATCCATGCCAGTTCCAGGGATATATGTCCATTATGGTCCTGTCTTCCATTATTGTCCATTATTGCACCAGGGATATAGGTTTTGCATCTGCCGGATTTTTCCGAACTTCATTTTTTGACTCGAAGGCTATGGCGTATCATTGGTGAAGTGGATCCTGGAGCACCCTCGTGCAGCGCTTTTTGTCGCCAAGTTCGGCGTTTTGGTCCGCGACCAGCTTTGCGAGAAGGTGGCACCGACATCAGCAATTTGCTGCAGCGAATGATGGCATCCCGTGCAGTCAAGCACTGATTGGGGATGATTCCCGCATCATTTTGCCATGCTTCAACACTTCTATAAGAAGTCAAGTCGTGTCTTCATGAAACAGGAAGGCATTAAAGCTCCCACCTGTCACTGTAGTCTTCACCGTTTTGGCCAGGTCTCCTGGCACATCTACGGCGATCCGGGCGTCAATGCCGTGGGCGCTTTGGCCTATGCATCCGAGTCTGCCCAGAAGCCGGGGGCGCCCAGAGGGTTTCAGTAATTGGTCTCCGACTCGGGGTTTTTTCCTTTTCCGGCAAGCACACAAGGCACCTTTGGAAAACAAGGAGGCCGATCATTAGATCATAAGAAACCTTCAGTTTCCAGGTTGCTGACATGGATGGACTTTAAGCATTTAGAGCGTCTCCGCATGCGGCCGGTTTCCGGCTCCTGGTTCCAGAGAGTTCGCCGGAACAGACCGGCTCAGAATTCATCAAATCATTCCACCCTACCTTCAGAAGAATCAATCCGTTTGGAGCTCCAAACGTGGCGCCGTTTCGGGTGACCGAACACTTCGGGTGACCCGGCTGAGGTTGACCGACTACGCGAAGCAGACCTTCTCTCCTGCGGTGCTGTTGACCGGGCTGAAGGAAGTCTTGGGCTCAGCACCCTTCATGGACTCGATCACCGAGATGGGCAAGCGCCTTGGGCGCGATGAAGAAGAGATGATTTAAAGAAGACACGCAACATGATCAGTGGGCAAGGGCCCCTAGGGCCGTCTAAACCCACCCCAGTCCCATCTTCTTAGAAGGTATAGATACCGTGCGATTCCAACAACCGTTGTTTTAATATTCTTGAAACAGCACACCAATCATTGTTTTACTATGGACTTCATTCAGGCTACGAAACGAGCTCAACCAGTTTTTTGAATGGTCTTGGACTTCCAGGATATACAACAAACAGAGATACAAATATGATATCCCTGGGAGTCCAAGACCATTTTAAAACGGTCTGACTTGGTGATCCGAAAAGGATCTTCCTTTACTTGGGTGGTGCCGAAAATAGCCCTTGGACTTCTTGGGGTATGCAATAATATATGCGCTGCATCTGCATGAGAGAGACACGATGTTTTTACTACTACTCCAGGGAGGATTCTTGGCGCTACCCCAGAGATCACCCAAACAGCAACATATATTGAAGTATACATGTACACATGCAGACTACCAAATGATTGTAGATACTCCTGGTGAATGTCACAGAAACATCCCCTTTGGGCAGTCTCCAGTTATTTTTTTTGCCACTTCCACTTTACTCGCTCGGTTTGGTGGAAGAAGCAACGTGCGTTTGGTTTCCCTGCGCCTGAGGTTCAGCTTCTCCCTGCTGTGACCTGGCCCGAAATGTTGTTTCACCAAGCCAAACACTACCCTGAAACATCAAAACTCTTAGATGAAGGATGGTGGATGGTCGATGGTGGATACTTCTCTGCGGATATTCATCGACCATCCACCATCCTTCATCTAAGAGTTGTACGTCGTTTGGGTCCAGTTTGCTTGGTCTTGATATCAATTAAAAGGGGCACGGGACTCTTTGAGGCGAATGGCCTAGGCAATGAGTGGTTTCATGTGGTTTCCAGAGGTTCGAAGCTCCGGCCCGTTCGAAGCTCCATCTTGGATGGAGCTTCACTAAACCACCGACCTTGAAGGATGGTGCCACCTCTGAAATCACTAATAGATGGGCGCTTGCGATTCGGATTTTTGGCGACCTGCAGCCTGCTCCATCCGAAGTGCTTGGCACTCTGGCAGACCTGGTGCCCATCCAACCGAGCTTGAGCGACCAAACCTGGAGAAGTCCTCTGATGCGACCATTCGCTCGAGGGCCTCAGGGGGGTCCTTGCCGAAATCGCCATGTCTACCTGCGACCTTTGCTAAGGGGGTGTCCAATGGAGATCCACGAGTATATAGTGTATAATAGCCCAAACACTCCATGTATGCAATATATGCCTACATTGACCCCCAAAACCACCCCAATTGATCGGCATATATGGCAGTCCCATGGGTCGTGTCTGGGTATTGTATAGGTGTATGCCATCGGACACCCTGCGTGAGGAAGGTGTTGGTCCTCCCTGAAGGTCCGGTCCCATCCAAAAGGTCATACGGTACGGCATGCGTGCGCGCATGCGCGGATGGACTGCGGCACCAGCGGCACCATGGTTCCGGTGTTTGCCATGGTCCACCAGGTGGAGTTCTCCATGAATTCTTCTGTGGTAACCTTAGATCGGCTCTCAGCAGCTGTGAGTCCCACAGGTTTTGTGGCTTCCATGCAGCTGATGTCAAGAAGCAGTTCAATCAATCAACATCCCCTGTGCACTCCAAGCCCCGCCGGTACCCGCCTGTACGTGCCATCTCCACACCCTCACCTCCAGACGCATCTCCTTCACTGGCAAAACCCCCATCTCCTTCACTATCACCGATCCCCATCCTCCAGAGATCTCCAAGAAGTAGTTGGAAGAGCTGAAGAGCAAAACCTGGAAGAAATCTCCAAAAAACCTCCCCTGATCCCTGATCCTCCTCCTCCAAACAAACCCTTCCAACTGATGGACGGGCTGCAACCGCGGTGCGTCACCGTTCGTCAGGTTGGGCTGGACGGGCTTGGCCTCTGGCGGTGCGGCTGTGGCTCTGCTGGGCACCTTGTCCTCGATCGTCGCCCAGGCGGGGCTCGAGGCTGGACGCCGAGCCATGGAGCCTTGGAGCTGAACGGCGGCAACGACCGCGCGGACGGAGGGAGAAGCGGACGGATGGTTGGTGGATGGATGTAAAGCATGGATGTGGTGAAGTGCCTTTTTGTTGGGGGGGGAGGGACGGTTTTGGGCTGGAAGGGATTTGATTGGTGAAGAGGAGCTTTGTTATCTTTGTTCAAGGGCCTGAGGTTGGCGGAGGCGTTGGAAGTTAGCTTGTTCTTTCCAAAGGAGCCATGGTGATTGTGTGGCTTCAAAACGGGGCGCATGTTTTGGGTTGGATCTGTGGTCGCTTGACTGGGATTTGGAGCAGTTGGCCAACAAAACCCTGATCCACTTGATGTTACAATGAATCGCATCGTGGTCAAGGATGCAAAGCAAGGAAGATGAAGGACATGAGCACACAGAGACGAAGGGTACAGTGGGATGCCGTTTGAGCCGTGATGGCCCGTGATCGCTTTCCATCGAAGGTGTAGAACTGGAAGTGTGCTACATGATGTGTTGTGATGAATGCTTGCAAGTTTTGATTACATATATCAAACAGTGGTGAATGTGTTTCTTCGAAGGGGGGCTTCTTGTTTGTGAAAAGGACAGCATGCCATCAGTCTTTGGCTGCATTCATGGAGTGCACAAGGAGGTGGACGATTGACGTGTATAGGTCTCTATGACCTGCCGTCCAAGTGGTCTCGAGTGGTCATGTTTTTCTTTTGTTCATGGAGGCTCCGATAGAGGGGACATCGCGGACACCCCGTACCCATCTTTTGGTGAAAGCCAAACTGTCCGGCGGCCGCGAGTCCAGCACAAGTCAGGAATTGATGATCTACCAAGAGATTGCCAAGGAAATTCCAGCAAATCTCTTCGACATCATGACCAAGAAATGCCTCTATAAGCGTGAGCCAGTACACCAGGTAACCTGGAACGCGACACAATCGGAGGTGATGACTGCTGGAAAAGATGCAATCCAGCAAGTGACTTGGACCTGAACAGTGGCACACGCGAACCGGCCGCTCATTCCAGGAATTTTCATGAGTGAGCGCATGTCGAGATTTGTTGCTAATGCCATGTTGCCAGACATTCCTGTTATGCCATATTTGCCATGATTCACCATATTTGTCCACCTTGGGGTGCTTTCCAGGGTCAATGTAGGCATAGATTCCAGACATGGAGTCTTTGGGTACGGCACCCGTCACGTCTCCCTCGCCTTTCCCGCGTTCGATGGTTCAGGTTACCCAGACCGTGGCAGCTGCTGGGAAGACCTTGACTGAACAGATGAGTCGATGGAGTAGCTTGTTGTCCTCTTTCAAGGGAAGTGCCTGAGGTGCCGACCGGTGGCTTTTGTTGGGGCGCAGACTGACGGCTTTTGGGTTTCGACCGGGCGGAAAGCTGACCGGGCTATAGCCACAGAGGTCGAAGCGCTGCTTCTGGGAGTCATGCTGTGCTTTGGGGAAAAAGGTGTGTGGGTCCCCGGCCTTTCGGGGAAACTGCAGCGTCTCGGGTCTCGTTGGGGACGAGTCCCGCGAGAGAGAGAGGCGTGTTTGTCACCTCGCTCCGTTAGCAACATGCAGCAACCATGGATGAAGCAAGTCCCATCTTCCCGGCAGCCATGCAGACCAATATAGACTCATGTTTATTCCACTGAGGGGTGTGGTTTGGGCTCCATGTTTGGGAACAAATAATGTCTTGCCTGCTGACAAATACTAACACCCCGGAAGCAGCTGGCAAGCAGCTCCTTGCAGGCTTACAGCAACCTTGATTCATCGGCGTCAATGCTGCTGTTTGGCTCTCAGAACTGAACCCGTTTGGCAGGTGCCAAGAAAGGCATCAAAAGCGGCCAAACCCACATGACAGTCACAGACCCAATGACCCTCAAAGACCATTTTAGAGCGCCAAGTACGCCAATCGCCTGTCCTCTACTCCATTGCTTTCGCCCACTCTCTTACAAAACACGGACAAAAAAGAACATTGCAAGAAGTCAAATTCTTGCAATGCCCTTTGAGTTGTCTTTTTCCTGGAAAGCTCCCGAAAACTATCCACCCATCCTTTGTCAGCCGTCACCCACCGCTTTCCAACCTCCAAATGCCATGGGTCCTGAGCCGCCGCCCGCGCCCACAGCCAGTCGCTGGCGTCGGCGTGCCGAGAGAGCGGAGGAGGCTGCGGCCGAGGTGAGGAAGCTAGGTGAGGAGGCGAAGCTAGGTCAGGAGGCTGGCAGAAACACGGCGACTTGGATGGAACTGAGAGAATGGATGGTACGAAGATGAACACAGTCATTAGTCTAAAGAGGCGATCTATATGAGTCTTCAATTGCGGGAGAGGGGTTGTTTTGATTGGAGTGCGTGTGTTTCCTATAATATCTACAAGATTCTATAAGTCTCTAATTGAACACCTCATTTAAAGGCTTTGCAGGAAAGTGTGTGGGATTGGATGGGCTAGTAGATGCAAAGAAGTCCTGTACTTTTCTTGAGGACGCAGAGCGTGAAGTGGATGCCAAGAAGATTGAGAAGCCAGAGGTGGACGAGCTCGTGCATGACTACACGACTTGTGCAAGAAACATCAGATCAAGAAACTATATATGTAATATGCATATATATTACCTCACATGATACTCACCCCACAAGATTTCGGCTTTGAATTGCTTCCTCATCCAAGATGTGACATATTTTAAGGGACGGTTTCCAGAAAAGTTACTGTAGGTTGCTTTTACGGCAGGTAATGGACCTTTATTCCCTAAGGATCCAAGTACCCTCAGAGAAGGTGTTTGAGGTGGGTTTGGAGGGTACAAGTACCATTTGAGGAGGTACTTGGATCCCTAGGGATTAGATAGAAATAGAACTTTGTTATGTCCATTTCGAGAGACTTGATCACAGCTTGCCGCCACCCTGGTTCCTCCATTTGTGAGGTGGTAGCCCATGAGGTGGCCAAGGTGGAGCGCCACAAGCCACAGGAGCCTTGCCCCATTTGCCTGGAAGGCTTTTCAGCCGAAAGCTTGCCTCGCACCTGTCGGAAGTGTCACAACAATTTTCATCAGGCGTGCCTCGCAGAGCCTCGGCGGAAAACGAAAGTCATTTCAAGAAGAGCTGAGACATCGACATCAGCTAGTTCTGTCAGAAGTGGCACTTGACTTGATCTTGACCTGGTTTCCTTTTTTTTTTGACATGCCGTTTGGATTTTCGAATCCATTGTTGCCCAGTCTGGACTCCCCGATGGTGATCGTTGGATATATTCTGGGGGTCTCCTCACAGGGCGCGACTTCCGAGGAATGGGCCAAGAAGGAGCAACAGATCAAGTGGGAGCAAAAGCCCTGGATGTTGCCGTCGCAATTCGAATCTGGCAGCTGTCCCTGTTGCCGCTCATCCAAAGGACATGACAAGTCCAGACGGTGGAAGAAGTAAAGAAGTAACTGGATGTGGGTGGAAACTAGGCCCTAGGCCCATCCTCCACATGACCTGAACAAACAAAAACAAAAAAACTTATACCAAGGCCCCCGCAGCCAGGGGTGGTTCATACCCCGCGTCACTTCTAATTAAGGAGCTATATATTAGACACCCCGTTTCACGGGGGGCCCTGGTACTTGATCCAGATCTGTCCCAGTCGGGCGGGGCCGTGAACCGGCCGTCCCTGGGTGCTTGTTACCCACGTCCAATGAAGGCAGGGCCAGTGAGGCTACCTGGAGTGTGTAGGTACGCACGATCAGTGGCGACTCAGAGACCACCTGGTTGGAAGAGACCACCTGGTTGGCCACTTCCCCTGGTACCCGAAGATTGTTGAATGTTTTGAGCCATTGCATGCAACAGAGCCGCGAGCAACGCGCCCGGCTGTGCCCTGTGGCGCAGGAAAAATGGCCAGTCTAGCAGTCTAGCAGTTGGCAGTTGTGCGTGGCGCGAGGAGAAAAAAAAAGGGTTGTCAGAAGCAGAGAGCTATGAAGTGTATGGAAGTGTATGGAAGCTTGATATAGCTTGATCACAAATAGCCTTCGGGGAAGTGTATGCAAGTGTATCTTTAGCTTCTAGGGCAGACAACTAGGGCAGACAAAGACGCTCCCGATGCTTTGTTTGAAGGATATCGGTTTGATGACGTGTTTTGCCACGGCTTTTGACCGCCTGTCTCCGGATCACAGCGTGGCGCCACACCAAGCGGGGACACATCCGGAGATCAGATGTTGCACCAACAAACTGGCTCACACCGTGGCATGAACAACACAGGCGTTTGTGGGAAAATCATTGCAGCATTGCCACCCATTCCTTCAACAAACAGCTATTGTACTGACTCAGTTAATCATCATTTATCTAGTAGGTGGCATGCAGGTATAGGAGGAGTAATTAGATGTGAAATGCTGTTGCATTGACGTCAACTTGATCCAACCTCGCAACTCTTATCCAATATCTGTCCTCAAGAAGTGGTTGAAGAGTGACATGTAGTTATTGCTTGATTTTGGATCCAACATCCACAAGGACATAGTTGTTGCTTATTGAATTGAAGAATGTCATCCAACATTGTGCCTTGATTGAAGGCATGATGATGATTTTGTTGATGAAAAAACACCAGACATGAACAGACATGGTTTCCTCAGGGCGGTCTGGGCGATGGTTAACATATTGCCATATTGCCACGAAAAAAATATACAAATTGCATTGCAAAGCTGGCGCAACAACCGGATGCTCAACAACACGTGACTTCTTGATCCATAACCCATTCAAACTCCGCACACGCGTACACACAAAAACATAATATGATATTCTTCCTTGTGAAGTGGGTAATTGCTTGACATTGCTTGATAAAAATCTTACACGCCATGGATCAGTCGCTCTACAGCGTGCTGCGCGTGAACCGGCTGGCGACCGACGCACAAATCCGCGCGGCCTACCGGCTGCGGGCGCTGCAGACACATCCTGACAAGGGCGGATTCTTGGATTTGAGACCTGCTTGACCTCATGCGTTTCAGTATAATTAGTGGATTTATATGGACCCCCCACATGTAAAGGACATCTTGAGGTCTGTGCCATCTAGTCTGAAACCATTGTAACTCTATACCGGGGCCCGGGGCCCTCGGGATGTCGATGTCAATAGCCGCATGGAGGTGATTCGGGTGTCCATGAAGCACCCCGAACGTGGGTTCTGGTACTTGTGTTCATGATTGCTCCCTAAGGATGCAAGTACCCTCAGAGAAGGTGTTTGAGGCTGAGGGTGGGTTTGGAGGGTTCAAGTACCATTTGAGAAGGTACAACTGGATCCCTAGGGGCTCTTGTTGGCTGGGGTCGGGCAACGACCCGATCTTGCTCAATCAGAATGAGCGATGAGCCATGATCGGCAGCTCGGGACGCGGAACCAAGCCGAAGCTATTACTAGTTACTATTGGAGGTATTCACATGGAAGTGGAGTTCACCACCTGTTTGGTCTTTGGAACATGTTCATCATGTAGCCATGACGATTTTAGGGAGCGCACAGGATTTCATGAAGAACGGCCCAGGAACTCACGTTGGACAACCCATGCAAGGCTTTGCTTTCGTTCGGAGCGGACAAAAAAAAAAAGCACCTCGTGATTTCAGCCACCCAGGCAATGAAGAGGAATTCCTCAAGGTCTTTCGGCTGCAGATGAAGCCAGACCCAACAACCAGACCTTGAGTGATCCAGAGCTGCCTAAGCGGGCATGCCCCTGCCAGTCCAAAAGAGGTCTAAGCGGCTAGATTAGACGCGAGTCGCCATATTAGTTGTTGAGTAACGTTTTTTTTGGCTGCCGAGGTCACAGGCCTCGTCACAGGCCTCGGCCCGTAGGTCAGCTAACAGCGTAGGTCGGTTTCTGTCGCTGGGCCATGGGCAATCAAGCAGCTACTTCCTGACCGGATCCACTCAACAAAAACGGATCACAGGCCAGCTTCTCATTGTTCCCTATAGTTGCAGCTGGCGGACGATGCCCTTGAGCTCCTCACACATGCAGAGCTATGGGTAGATCCTACAAAAGAGATCCCGGGCAATCTATGCTTGGTGGATCCTGGTATAGCACTATACTGTAACCTGTACCATACTGTACCTGTATCCCTCAAAGAGTGTTGGGTCGTCGGCCCAACACACCAGCTTTGGATAAACCATCATACACCTTCTCATTGAGAAGGCGAGCGTTGCTGTAGTTGTAAAGATATGGGCGAGCGTGACTGAAGTGGCCGTTGCAGTGGACCAGCAGACTACTCCACAGGTCCCGGAACGCACAGGTCCTCTTCTCGGGAGTGGGTCCACCTACAAATCAGAAGGAGGAACAACGAGTGAGTTGGCCCTAGCCTTCAATGACCATCAAAAGAATGGTTGACGTGGTTTGATTATATACTGTAAAAGCCTTAGTGAAGCAACGATTTTTTGGTCAAAACCATTAAACATGGTTGTTTGAATCCTAGGGTTTCCTTATGGCCATATGGGTCCAGGTGCATTAGATCTGCTTGTTGTTCTAGGTTTTGAAAAGTGCTCACTCCCTTGATGCCTTGTTCACCCTTCCGCGCTGCATTTTGGGGAAGCCCAGGTAGTGGAAGCCTTCGAAATCCTCTCCGACCTTCCAAAGCGGAAGAAGTCCCTTGGCCGCCGCGCTGGCCTCATCGGTATGGGAGAGCTGGGGGGTACACCTGAGACCATCCTGTTTGGGTGTCCTGTTTGGAGATCTGTAAGTATAGTGTAGGGTAGTCCAGCCAGGGTGTCAGAATGCTCCTGGCAGAAACCATGCACTTGACAACGTGACAACGGACAGTAGATTCGAGGATTCAGATTTTCCCGGTGGGGCCACTGACCATTGTCAGGTTTGATCTCATGTTGAATCCAGCCCTTTTTCCCGCCCAAAAGGGGGGGGCTTCAGCACCAGGTACGACGCCGAGTTGCAACGGACCGGCAGCCAAGATGGGCGCCAGGAGCCGAGACCCCGGCGGTTCCTGCGACGGCTGCGACCATGGGTTGACCCGCAAGGTGCTGGGAGGGTTTGGGTTTCCAGCTTGGAAGGTTGGAGCTGGAGGTAGCAAATGGTTAGAAGACAATATATACTTTTTTGTTGAAAAGTAGGGGAAGAGTTTAGGGAGAATTGTGGGAAGAAATTGGTTGTTGGATGTTTACCAACACTTGCTGAGGTCCTTTTCAGGTCTTCAGAGTGGCTGACCTTTTGAACGAAGATGGCTTGTGACCAAGTTAGCCTTTGCTTGGACCGTCATTTGGTATATGTATGTATGTATACTGTGTACTTTTATTGTCCCCGCCGTTCATTTCAATGGAAAGCAGGAGTAGGTGAAATGTCCTCCTCCTGAAAATCAACTACTACAAACTCGGGGTTGTAAATATTTGTAAATATGCCACCGCCATTGGTTGTGTTTGGGTACTGGAACCTGCTGAGTCTCCAAGCAGTTTTCTTATCCATGTCGCCCTCGGGATCCACCAGAACGTCACAGGATTGATACCGATCTCTGTTAGAGAAATCCAGAACCGCTTCAATCTGTACACCATACCGTGTAAAGCCCAAAACCCCGCTGTATTGCCCATCAATGCCCATCATATTGTTCCACTGTCAGGTCGAGAGGAGATCTTCGTTCAACAGTAATTAGGGATGCCAGCGGGGCTCTCCTGACCATCGCCCAGGAGAACCAAGCGGCGCAAGCTGCGGCGGCCGCAGATGTCTTCGGGCTGCCCGACTTAGGCTGCCCCGCAGAAGTCGAGAAAGTGATTGTTGACCGTGAAGCAAGGCAAAACATGTTCCAACATGTTCGAACGAAGGGTTTGTTGCCAACCGCTATGAGGCAAACAGGCACATGAAGGAGAGATCTTTGTGCTTTTCCTTGGATTGTCTCACCCGCCATGCCAGGGCAGACGGAGCCCAATCAGCAGCCCTGCGAGGGTCACAGTGCGGAGGCCGAAGCTTTGCGAGCCAAGGCCATGGCGGAACCGCACAGCTGTGACCGGCAACCGTCCACCATCCATGTGCTTAGCTGGAACAGAACCTTCAGCAGCAGAAAGCGAGGGAAGCGACAAGTGGTACAGTCGTGCCCATTTTTTCAACTGCATGCTCACTCCCTGTGCCCTGGAAGATTCACCTGGAACCTGAACACGGTTTGTGGGAGAAAAACGTTCCTTGCAGGTCCATCTTCCTTCATCTTTCCTGTGCAATTACAATGTGAAACCCGATCGGAATGGAAGTTACGAGGCGTTGGATGGGCCCATGTTCACCTCCCCCAGCCTCGCGAGGCTTTGTGGCTGGAGTTGCTGGAAAAGTCCTCGAATGAGCGTCAGGACGCAGGGGCGAATGAATCATGCCCTGTGAGACCCTGCGGACCATCTCTCCCACCAAAATGATCTATAGACTATGACTATAGACCAGGGTTATAATCCATCTCCCCCGCCAAAATGATCTATATAATGGCCTTGCAGTCAATGCTGGAACTTGGGAATGCCGGCGATCTGTTCGGGGTGGAACACCCGTTCCGCAGGAGCAGCTGCGAACGCTGAGCTGCCGTACCGCAGAGGTGCCAACACTGCCGGTCCACACCCCCGCAGGTCCTTGTGGTTCTTCAAGTCGGGCCCTTGTCAATCTTCATCGACCCTGGGAAGAATGCCAACTTTTTTTTTTCATGAAACTGCTTCAGGGCTCACAGTCTCGGATCTGTTTCCAGAACCCTAAACCCAGAACCTTCGGTCCAAAACACCGCCCACGTGTTCGCCACGTCGCCACGCTGACGTCGCCACGTCGCACCAGGTGCTACTCCACTTTGCCAAATCGCAGCTGCGGGGCGCCCCCGTGGTCGCCGCCAATGAGCCACAGGAGCCGGAACCGATGCGTTCAGTATGCCATGTGTGTTTGGCTTGTTGTTTTTTTCATCGGTGCTCGGAGGAAAACATACTGTGTTTGATTTTTGGTTCCGGTGAAAAAGAAGATAACGTTTTGGCTCAGAGGAAGAAGATCTGTGAATTGGGCTCAGGGGAAGAAGGACATTTTGTTGATCTCTGTAGATTTGAATAGAATATTAATCATGAACCTGTATAATGTAATTAGTTTGGTGATAAGATGTGGCGCCAGGGAGGTAAAGCTAAAGGGAACCTCTCTCTATGTCTATTGCAGAGTTGGAGCGTTGATTTGATAGAACGGAAATTGAAACTGATTATCCCATCACCACTACACCCTCACCTGCATGGGTTTGCCTTAGTGATCAGTGGAATGAGGGGGATTCTTGGAAGACTATGCACCCACCAATGTTCATGGCCATCCGCTCCTCAGCCTGAGGGCTGTGGCAATGCATTGCTGGCAGCTGGCCCTGAGGCGAGGGATCAGAAGCAGGGGGGGTCGGTGCCAGGAGGTGGCCATGCCAACATCCCTGGATCCATAGGATCGATCAAATACCCATGAGATCCACCATCAAAGTCTTTGCGTTTTCTCCATCAACGTCTTTGCAACATCATGAGATCCACCATTGATGCACCCCTCCAATCCCGCGTTCCCCTTCGTCACCCTTGAATCAAAGCATGGCCTCATCAGGCTCCCGCGACCGTTCGGGCCGAGCCAGTGGATTTTCACAGAAAAGTAAGTGCCTTGTTTGAACAGCTCAAAGTAATCACTCTTTTATTACAATGTTTGACTATGCCACAGATGGCTGTGATGGGAGAAACTATAGCTGCACTGCAGGATGCGCTCTCAGTCTATAGCTCCCACAGAAGCCAAGGCTTCAACATCCTATACAGAACCTCCAAGAGAACAAATGGGATGGGACATGATGGGACCTCGTCAACCTGCCGCCAGCACCGCGCTTTTCGCCGATGGTGCGTGCCACCGTGCTGGCAGGTCCCTGAAGCCAAGCGTGCCAAGCTGGAGGGCGCTCGAGCGCCGCTTGGACCCCGAAAGGCCTAACATCGCCCAACCAAGCGACGTCAATGGAGTGAACCTTGGGGTTCTCCAGAGAAGGACATGGCCGGTCAGAAAGTTCCTCATTGGTGGCATTCCTTGGCATTGTTGTGTTGTTTGCATATATATATATATATAATATAATATATTAATATCTGTGTGTGACAGATATGTTTATTCTGTATGAAGGGTGCAGAAAGTTCCCCTTGCACAGACAGCAAAGGTGCTTCGAACGTGGTGCGCGTGCCCACGTGTGCCTGCGGAGGATGAAGGTTTGCACTGGTGCATCTGAGGACTCTTGTTCAGGTTAACACGGTTTTCCTCGCTTTGCTTCGGACATGTTCTTTGTATTATTTTGTAATATTGTTTGACATGTTTTTGCCACTTCGTTTGATGTGTTTAACACATTTCTGACATGTTGCAACGTTTTTTGGGCATGCGCATGATGATGTTGGCTTATGTTTGGATGTGTTGTGATTATTTTGTGATGTTTGCTTTGCTAACTTTGGGGATTTGCTTCAAAACCATGCCCTTGGATGCCATCGGATGTGGGTCGCGGAGACGCTGACTATACCTTGTGACCTTGCGACCTGCTCATCAAGTGTTGTGAGCCTTTGTCAGACTTCGGAAGTGGTGTCATAAACATCCTTCTTGTGCTGCTGAACTTCATGAGGATATGTAAGGGATGGCTTCAATAGTTTGTTGTTTTTTTGGAGGAGCCTCGAGGCCCAAACCAGGTTGATGCAACCTTCGTGAGTTTGCATTCATCATCAACTACCCATCTGCTACACTACTTGTAGCAATATCTTCGCTTCCTGTGTAGGAAATGGATCGAGTAAGGTGGGTTCGATGGTCCAACTAGCTCGCACAGTGCATCACAAGCCCCCCTAAATAGTCGAAGAGCCCTGCAGAAGCCCAATAGATAGAGAGTTTACTCCCTGGACTACCGTTTCACTCCCTGAACTCATTCGCAGAGTTTAAACACTTGTTTGTCCTTCTTTCAAGGTCACCCGATCTCGGGGCCACTGGTCCCACTGCGGATCATCGGAATCATCCCTTGTTTGGTCTTGTTCACCACTTGTTTGGTCTTCGTATTTCGCACGCACAATGCGCGATCCGTCGTCTTCTTCGGTCCCATATCCATCCGTCGCGTGGTGGATGAGTCGTTGGCAGTGCACTCGTTGTCTCCAACATCAGGGGATCGGCGCGATCAGGATGTGGCAGAGGCGATCAACTGGCACATCCTGCTGGTGCGTGTGAAGCAGATGCCTCTTAACCAAACGAGGGTATTCAATGAAAGCACTTGGCTTGGCTGGGTGTAGGTGTTCCACAGTCTTCCGGATGCTCCGCAGAATGAAAGAAGCCATGCTGGCCATGCCCTTCCGAACTCGTGAATCTGATATGTTGCTTGAACAGTTCGTGAGAATGATGCGGCACGGAGTTTTTTTGTTGATTTGTGCGCACCGTTTGGAGCCCGTGCCTATGTTAACATGACAACTCACGTTTGACCAGTTATTGAACCTCTCATTTTCCTGCATTTGTCCTTTGGCGATGCTCGCCATGAGTGCAGGTTGGTTATTATATACAGAACATGCTTGTCCGGACTCCTTTGGTCATTCCTGTTTTTGCATGTATCTTTGTTAGCCAAGAGGTGCACATTCCGTGTCAACTGAAACGTTGGCTCCCTTCCCCTCACCCGCCGCGGGTCCGCCTCTGAGCTTCGACGAGCACCTCAGCGCCGGCGACGCCTTCTGCGCCGCCGCGCGCGAGGCGCTGCGCGCGGCGCGCGCGGAGGCGCAGCCGCTGAGTGATCCACGGCTGCGCTTCGTGACGGAAGTGGCGGTGGGAGATGAAGTGCTGTGACCTGGCGAGCCGACCGGTGGGGCTAGTGGGGTGGAAGGCGAGAGTGGGAAGTCTATATAAATGAGTTGGAAGTTGGAGGTGGGGCCTTTTGTTGGTTTCGGAGTTTGATTGGTGAGCGTGGGCCTTTTTGGGCTTTCAGCATGTGAAAGGGTGCAGTGCTTAGATGTTGGCCGAGGCTTCGGTCGCACCTGCAGAAGTCCCAAAAGTGATCATCGACCCATGACATGTCGGCCATGGCCATGCTACGTCGTGACCGGAGCCCAGAGGTGAAGGTGTGTTACAGATATCAGCAGAACTCACAACCCCCAAATTGAGAGAATCCCTGAATATCAGGCAACAATTGATGAAACTTGCGTTTTTTTGGGGGGTTTTGGGGGTCCAAACCTGGAGCGCGACCCGTCCATGTAGCGAACGACCGACAGGTGTCATGGTGCCATGACAGCCGACCCTCCAAACCCCCTTCCCATCTGCTCCGAGACTGGTCGGGCACATAAAAAAGAACGGCTCCACATTGGATCATGAGGATCCCTCCAACAAAAGAACAACTCGAGGTACCTGGCACTGGTCTCATGCAAGGGAAAATTGGCCGGAAGTGTGAGCGTCCTGTAGATGGTTCCCTTGAACTCCACCTGTTTCATCCCCTGTGGCTTTTCAGGGGGCAACAGCTCGGGAGCGACGCGAGCTCCCCCAGCTGCACAGGTGAGCCCTCTTGGGGGGAAAACCCAAAGAAGGATAAATGAGGTCCAAGCATTTGCTTGCTTGCTGTGTGATTACCTTTCTATCTATATATATATATATTTAATAGTTTATATATAATATATAACATATATAACACAGAGAGCGAGAGAGGCTCTTGATTCATCCATTTGGAGTGTAATAATACGCCTTCTTGATGTGGGCGCCAGCCACAATCCTCTCAGTCGGTCGGCTGCTGGCTGCTCGCGACCGGTTCTTCTGAGGTTCACTCCTGTGAGCTGGGATTTGGAAGTGGGGCTGCGGCACCATGAGGAGCTTCCTGGCCACGCTTTCCATAGAGTGGCAGAGATAATCATATATAGTGAGACTTCAAAACCTCCATGGCTTTAGCATATGCTTTATAGATGTTGTATTGCTATCCTTAATCTAAGTTTGAGCATTACTAAGTATATGATAGTATATGCCTTAGTCGATGTGGTGGTTTAGTATTACTAGTATGCAAATTGTGCTGGGTGATGGTTTGGAAGATGTGTTCGTTCTTTTGTTCCATCCCTTTTGCATAGGAACGACGATCCCATGTCTCGATGTTGCTGCATAGGTCAAGCACCCCCCCAACGAACGATTTCTTCATGATCCGTATGAAGACAGTGACTTGAAGACTTGGTTGTTTTTTCTATGGGTGTCACCTTGACAGACTGAGACATGTCGCACTGCACCGGCCAAGTCACGTTTTTCTCGATCAGTTTGGGATTTGATCCACTTTGTTTTCAGATCGTTGGATGAGCATGGATCAACTGGATTGTCCAAGCTCACAAGTGTCATGGTACCGGGCAGGTGCAAGAGAATGCGCAGCTCACCTGTGAAGTTGCTAGGTGAGGTGCCCAAGCAAGACATCCATGACCTTTTGTGTTTGAAGCAAGAGGAGGCCATGAGATAGTGGCAAGAAGCCAGACTCAGAAAAGTGGATCCCGCACATTCCCCCACCCTATACCCTAGACTTCCAACCATTATAAAATTAATATAGGCATTACCGAACCAACTAAGGATTTTACACTACAAAAAACCAGTTCAACCAGCTTTTTAATGGTCTTGGAAGTCAAGGGTATGGACATTTGGGTCTCATCTTTTGGGGGAACTCCCCTGGTGCGGACTGCTGCCAAGGCTGTCCGCGCTGCTGAAGCAGCATGCATCCCGCGAGCAGCTGGTGGAAGCGATCGGCCGAATGATGGCCGCCAGCAAGGCCGAGAATGGCGTGGGGCCGAAAATGGAGGAGAAGCGACTTTTTCATCTTACTCTGGCATGAGATGCAACCTCCAGGAACGAATAGAGATCGAAAGAGGATGAACGAGTTTTTTGTCCAAGTCTTTGTGAGCCACTCTCTATTTCGGTAGCGACCTAGTGACCTTGTAGTGAAAGGCATCAAACCGGCCCCGGAGTCAAAGATGTGCTGAAGGAATGCTAGACATAGATTGGGTCTAGAGTCTAGAGGCTGGCGGCGCCAGTGGGGTGAGGAGGGAGTACTGTAAGTGGTCTGAATTGAATGAGTTGGGGGTTCCCACTACCTGTAAGAGTCGGCAAACAGTTTTATATCACTATTTTACTGGAAAAGACCTACTCGAGTCAACCAATTCATTACCAAATCTACTATCGAACCATGGACCCTTTTGAGAAGGTGCTTGGACCGGGATGTGTTGCTGTCCGGTTTGGAGGGTCCAAGTAAATACCATCGTTCCACAAGAAGCTGTGTATCAGTATCAGGACTCTCAGAGGTAGATCCTCTATAGACGGATTTGTGGGCTCTTTGAGAACATGAGCTGTGCAACGAGGCCGCCGAAGCCGAGCAACGAGCGCTCATCGAAGAGCTGGACCGATGCTCACGGGGTCGAGCGGCGGAGAACGAAGGAGGAACAGGTGACCTGCAGAGCGATTCGATGCAGAGGAACAGGTGACTGTGTTGAACATGAAGTCAAATATATATATATATGGCAACAACATACAACAACCACCTGTTGGAAGGTACTGTACATAGTTATTTAATCTTATTTATTTTTAATTGGCATACATATTTGTGTGAGCACCCCCCTTGGACATGTGGGTGTGCATTCGCAGACAGATTCATGCAATCTAAAGAAGCCTGGTGGTCCCAACAATAGAGAAACCATGAGAAACCCATGTTGGAATCACTTTTTGGATCACGTTCCCCACCAGATCCCACCCGAAAGCTCCGCCAGTCATGGTCCGAGCCGCTCGGCATCCGCAAGCTCCTCCGCTCCAGGAGCGTCACATCTTCACCTTCCGAAAGCTCCTCCGCTGGCGGGGCGGTTTGCGGCCTCCGGGCGTCAATGCCAGCCTCAGCCAGGTGGTGGGGCCCAGCTTCTGGGGCGACAAAGGCGCGGAACATGGTGCGCGGAAATGGTGGGCTACCAGGTGGGAGTCCCACCACAATATACTGTTGCTGAATGGGGCTGCACAAGCCTTCACCGATGAACGTGGCTGCTAAAGAATGTCTTAGATTATCAGACATATACAGGTGTTATTTGACAAAGGCGTACTTTGGGTGGCCTGTCGTCCTGTCGTACTTTGGCTCGTAAGGTCGACTCTTGATAATACCTCAATAACCCCCAGGAGCCCTTTCACATGTTTTCTTTTTGTAAGGAGATCTTGTCACCGGCTCCGAGCTCCCCGGGACTTCAGGCGCCCCGCCCAGCACCGTAAGCGCGCTTTGCTATGCCGAGCTTTGGCACCAGAAGGCGAGCTCTGGCACTTCGAAGTCGACATCTCGCTGCATTGGAATGGGGAAATCCATGCCCTCCCTCACTTGATGCCATAGGCAAGCTTTCAGTGAACTGCTGTTGAATGCTTATGCATGGAGTATAGCTCTAGACCTCTCGGCTTTCCAGCTGGTGACCCTAATGTCAACCTTTGACTTATATAGATGTACCTTTAGTTTATGGATGTTATTTATAACTTCAAGTAAACAACTGCAGGGAATAGAGAAGACGCGGAAGGGGAAATTGGAAAGTAGAGCTGGGATGTGTGTTGGGACTGTTTCCCCTGTGAACATCCAGATCTTGATTGCCAGGGTGGTGCTGGCCTAGAGCCGCTGTGCCGCGGGCCCCGCCGGAAGCGGCCAGACGAGGCCCCGAAACAGTTCATGGGATCCATGACGACCCGAACGGCACTCTCCGGTTCTACAGTCTCCTACCACACACACACACACCAAGTGGAACATCTTGGAGGATCGCAAAGAGAAACGTTGCCAGAAAATGGCATTCCAGGAGTCACAAAGGGGTGGTTTTGAGTCCCTAAGTGAGTGGATGTTCTGGGCACCCCGACTTCCTCCAAGTTCGGCACCGTTTGGTGACCAGTTTGGTGGTCCCGCCGGCTGGTCGTGAATCGAAAGGAACACCGAACCGCCGCGGCGACGCGGTGCGTTCGAGACCGCCGACCCATCAGGCTGCCAAGGACTTGGAAGCCCTCCAGGCCAGTTCAGATCAGATCGAGGTGTCCTGCATGGTGAAGTACTACAGGATCCAACCCGAAGTGTTGATTCAACATAGACCGGGGAATAGTAGACAAATTGTATGGGTCCTCAATGTGTTCAAGCATACTTGATGCATCTACCTTGAGTCTCCAAAGACCTTTTTTTTTCTGCGTTTTTGTTTTGGGTCTAATATTTTTGCGTTTTTGTTCGAAACATGTGTTTTTAGAGATGAGGACTCAAAAAAAAGGTGCAGAGTGAATCTTCATCCGGACGCGTCCGGCACGGACGCTTAAAGACGCCTTTTGGACGCAAAAAGACGCGTTTTGGACGCCGAAAAGGTCTCAGGACACTGTCTAAGGAGGATCTGACAGGGCACAAACAAAAAAGGAACATTTCGTGACATATGCAAAAAAGAGATAAAAAGAGTGCTTTCTTTCAAAAACATCTTTTTTTTTGGAAAGGCAAATTTAAAAGGGTCATTGGAGACTCAAGGTATATATGTTTCACTGATTCAGATTGCATCGGATTGCAGTGGAGCAAAAACCCTCCTTCAACTCCCCAGCCCCCGGAGAAAAGAAACAAATCGCCACAGTGCCTGTGCCTTGGGCCCCAACCTCCCACCGTGAGGCGGCCCAATCCAAGGGCGGCGATGCAGCTGCCCGCGCCGAATCCAAACGGTGCCTGGGCTGGTGGTGTCGGTGGGGTCGCTTGGGGAGCGAGCGGTCTCCACATGGGACTAAAAAACCTGGATTTGCTTGGATGTTTTGTGGACCAGAAGGGGCCAGAAGAGTTGGCAGTTCAGGATTGTTTGGTGGTGCCGGATTTGTCAACAGTATATCTTGAATACATCTCTTTTGTTTATACAACAACTTTGGCTTGGAGACGGACTCGTCGTGTCCAAAATTCCTTGAAACGGGATCCCTTTCACAGGGGGCCCAACCCCAACTGCTTGGTTGTTTGAGTGTGACGCCCTCTACCATCCGAAGAGACCCGCTGAGGCTCTATGAAGAGTCTTTGCGGGCTTTGATGCCCTGATGCCGCTCACGCACTTCAACAAGGGACTTCGCAGACGAAACTGCTAGAGCTGCCAACCACAGCTGACGCTGGATTGAGCTTCCTGGAGATGGTGCAGGCGACCGGGAAAAAAGGCAGAATCCTTTTGATGCTTTTCGCTCACCGCTCGATTCAGTTTGTTGGACTTTGCAGCAGGAGGTCAGAGGAGATGAAAGGCAGTCAATGAATGCTTTCCGGAACGCTTGCGACACTTGACACGCGTACGCCATTGTTCCTCCCTCTGGTACCCTTTGGCCTTCGTTCACACCATCCCCGAAGCGAAGGCTCCTGTTCGCATTCTGCCGATGAACCGCCGGCGCGCCTCACATCCGCTGAAGAGGCAGCAGCAGCGTCCACACGCCATGCATCAGCGAGAGGAAAAGGAGGCGAACTCGATTTTTTTCCGAGAAACATGGTGGATGGAAACCCCGCTGGAAAGACGGTAACAATGGACTGTTGCTATCAAGATCCTGACCTGGTTTCTGGTTTGAGGGCAGCCTGTGGGTTTGGATTCATGTTTCAATAGGACAAAGGATGAAAGGCATGTGCCCTTTCTTATGACCATGCACGATGCACTGCCAAAACTGGGGTTGCTTTTGCATGACCAGGCTTGGTCAATAGGCTATACATGGATGGTTACCTGTGGGTTCTTCATGAGGGGCCCTTCTTCAGTATGTTGCAGGTCTGGAGGGTATTTACCTCTTGCACTCAGTGCCCTGTGGGCCTCCGTTGACTTCTTCTGTTCTTTCAGGTGGTTTGTTTGCTCTTGATGGTCGGAGTGGTGGCCCCAGAATCCACCTGCCGATGAGAATGATAATTTTACATTCAAAATCCAAACCCGCCGAATAATCGCAGTGATTGGTTAGAAGATGTTAGAAGTGGGCATGAAACATCATTCAATGTTTTCCTCCTTCGGTGGAAAGAGCTTGTGGTGAAACCATCGGCTGCAACCAGTGAGTCCCTTGAACACCACAGCCCGGACGACGGGCTCGCACCATGGGCCCCGTCCCGTTCGGCAAGACGACGGTGGCCCAAGCACCCTAAGATGTTCAGAAGCAGCCTTATGCAAAACTGGAGCCAAAGAATCAGTGGATATCAATGGATGCAAGAAACATTGCTTGGCCGATCTAAAACACGAAATCGCACATAGATATCCCATGGATTTTGGCTCTTGCCACCAGAAACCTTGATCATCCCTGTCAAGCCTGCACAGATCACCTTCAGAGTTCCACCGAGATGCACCACACATGGGCCGCACTTGATGACCCACATGCGGCGGCTCAGCACTGCCAGCTTAGCGGTGGCTGGACTGCCATGCCAAGATGGACAAAACGTACCTCTAGAGTAGAGTTCTGGTGGTTTCAGAATGGCATCAATGCTATACCGTATGCCATCTTCACAAGTTGCTCAAGCACGTGTTCTTTTTTAGTGGTGTGTTGACTCTTTTCGGCCACTGCACTTGTTGTAGAAACTAACTGGCATGGACAATGAAACCTTGCTTTTTGGATGTCTATGCAAGACCTTCTACGGACTCCGGCAGACAGTAACACGTAGGTGTTCATACATTTCCCAAATGTCCTGCCAAAACTTTAGGAGGTCGAAAGGTTTCTCGGTCTCCCTATTTGAGCTACAGATCAGTAGCAGGTGACAGTCACCGTTGTCTCCCTTGGATTCCGCCGAGCTCGGTCTGGTACCGCACCTTTCCTGCTTGGTCAGGTCGCCAAGGAGTCCTCCCTGTCCGCGCCTCGAGTACGGCGCCGGGACGCCGAGCCCTTCGTGGCCGCGCTGCCTTTGCCGCCGGTGGTGGAGTCGCCAGGGAGCTCGGAGAAGCGCCGGAAGCTATGGTTCTTGTGGCTTGGAGATGGGAGGAAGAGCCGGAAGAGGGAGAGGAGTCCAAAAGTGTGTCAAAAGCCTTTTGGTAGGGATGGGAGAGCATTTATGAATATTTTGCTGCTGTGATTTCAGAGCTGGTTTGATGCGAACAAGATTGTGCAAGTCTCGGATGAGGCAAGTCCACATATCTTGGTTGTCTAGCCAGTCAGTGGATTATATAACCTTTTGGTGGGATTTTGGTGGATGGGTTTCCCCACTCAACAAGACGTGGACAGTTTGGTGAAAGAAAAACGGGTCGGGATTCAGGCCCCTGCGCTTGAACACCAGGAAAACGCTCCGAAAAACGCGTCAACGGGACGTGCTCGTGCCACCGGCGTCCCCGAGCCGTGAACCCGGTGCAGGCTGAACCGCGCGAAAGCGCAAGAGGTCTACCAACCTGACGGGTCCGATGCCTGGCGAAACAGCAGACAGAGCAGACAGCTATCGAGTATCATGGATTCAATGACCCAACAACACTCTATTAGATAATAATGAGTGGGCCATATATTGCCAAGAAACAGACATCGCCTATCAGTTGGTGGTGGTTGAGAAGGTGTCAATGTCGGCATCTATTCCATGCATGTGTTTGGGTGATGCTTTGGTGCGTTCCTGCTTTCCCGTCCCGTGCTGCACTTATAGATCTTATAGATGCGGTGGTAGGTAGATTTTGAAGTGACCCCTCCAGGTATTTTTGAACAGTAGTCACATCCCTCGTCAACAAGGAGTCAGCGGAATCTCTCGAGCTGTCGGGTCAATGGGAGACCGAGATCAACAGGTTGCAGCGATTCGAGGGGCGGCTGGATAGGAGGTGGTTAGGTGACGAGGAGGAGGAGCTTTGTAATATTTTGTAATTGTTCGACTCTGACCAGTCACTCAACTGGTCTATCAAGAACCACCGAGGTAGCGTTTTCTGAAATTAATTGATGTTCAATTCGCATCAAACACAGGCTAAAACTGACAACCTATGCTTCTCCACGCTTCTCCCATTCTGCTCATGGACAGCTGGAACCCTTCAACACGGCAGAGTATGACATTCTCACCGAGCACGTCTGACAGAGCACGTCCCCAAACACCACCCATCCACTCCGCAGTTCCGCTGCGGGAGTGCTTTGCAGTCGCACGCACCTTCCGCACGCACTCCGCGCACGGCTCTCCGCGGAGAGCTCGCACTCGCGCTCCTGAGGATGCAGAGGAGCGGATCTTCGGTTCGAAGCAGGTGAGTCAAAGCTTGGAGCTGGCAGCAGAGCTGGGCTATGACTCTTGGCAAGCTCCGAAGCGAGCGAGCGGAGCTGGGAGGAACATGTGAGGCGGTGCTGAAGCTGGGGAATCCATGAAAGCAAGGAAATCGAGGAAGCACAGTGTACCACGAAGGCATTCATCATTCCAGGATTGGTGGAGAAACTGACGATGGAGCTATTTAAAGGAGAAGAGGAAGAGGGAGAGAAGAAACACCAGTAGATGCGTGGCACCCCTGGATGGCTCAAAACCCTTAGCCTCACACATGGCGCCGCCTGAGGAGAAGCAGCTCCAACCAGATGCGTGGATGCTGAGATTGGATTCAACAAATGTTGTTTTATTTCGCTTTCAGCCCTTGCTGCCGAGCTTGGATTCACCAAGAATGGCTGTTTCACTGTCTTTTGCGTACCGCTTGGTCCGCACCCTCCAATAAATATAATATGCAGAATGGGCACTTGAACAAAAGCTCCTTCCTTCCTCAAGCCGACAGATTTTCACAAAAAGCATGTGACTCATGCGACCGTGACCGTTGGAGTCGTTGGAGTGGCGTTTTCTGCGTTTGATTTGGATGCGGAATCCCCCAAAGACCTCCTGGAAAGAAGGAACGTTGACCCAATTCCATTGCTTGGTGGTCTCCCTGTGGAATTGCATACATACCATTACATACCCATACCCATGTTGATTCCTGGTAAGTTGATTCAAGTCGGAGCAGACAGAAGCAAAACCCGAGGTCCACTGCCCTCAAAGAGATCTTCCACTTGGCCCAGCAGGGTGAGCTGGACAATGTGGCGCTCTTCTCCTCTGCCCAGAGCCTCTACCGCCTTCGGAACACGGAGCCACTGAGTTGGATCGGCCGGGTCGATGCATAGATCGATGCATCGTTCGTTTCGGAAGGAGTGGAACAATCCCCGTGGAGTATCCCGGATACAAGGCGTTAGTTTCTGTGGAAAGCAGATGAAAGCAGAAACACTCACCGGAGTGTTTCTTTTTAGTGAAGGGCTAGTGTTTCTTCTCCGGGATTGGTTCTTTTTTGTTCTAATGCCACACTCCTGAGTGCGAAAAGAGAACAATTACAACATATTACAACATATCGGTGAACATGTCAACATTATCTTCACTGTTCCATTCTTGTAAACATGATATGCTTATATTATTCATCATTGCAACTTAATTCATGTTACTGTAATTCCTTCATTTATGGGGAGAACTGCCGACTAACTGCCGACTTGCTCCCCCACTCCCCCAGCCGCGCCCAGCCTAGGTTCTCGGCGGCGTGCCACCGGGGATCGTTCCGGCTCTTCGACTTGGTGGTGAAGGACCCGATGAACCCGAAGAGAGCCGTTCATCCGCCTGGCCTTCCTCCGCCGAACGTGCTAGTCGCTGCTAGTCCGAAGCCTTCAACTGAGTGTTTGGTGCAAGTGGGTTTTCAGACTCCACTGCGTTCATGTCGGTCTTTCATTCTTCTCTTGATTCGTTCACGGTCTTGAGTATTCCATAGTATTCCATCTCTTGGCTGGTCGGTTGGTCGGTCTTGATAATTCCATCTCTTTATTGCCCCCCTTGTGATCGTTATATATTCCATCTCTTTGTCACTCGTGAAACAACAGTCCATTTTTTCAGGAGACTACTAGACACGGAGTGTTTTGACCTAGAAGGGATCGGAGAGATAGCAGGAGTTCCAAAGTGCAGTTTGCTGGACCCTTGGAGGGGAGGCCGAATCTCCAACAACATTTGGGGTTGGTACTACCCTTTTGGCAGCTGCAAATCTCATGATTTGAAGCGATTTGCTATGAGCTGTCAGCTCTGAAGTGCCAGGTATGTTGGCAGATCAGATTCCAAACTATTGCATTTGCACTTCATGCGTCCGGGTTTGGTTTGATTTGTTGTGCAATCTCCCCAAGCCATACGTCGTCAGGCGCGGACATCCCCACAAACACTTCTTGAGATTCCTGAAAGGACACCTAACATCACCTATAACGTACTATGATCATGTCTAATTGGGCTCTCAACCTACCTCACGCTTTTTATGCGCTCAACCTGCCCCTGAAGACACAGAAAGACTGCATGTCTTTCTTGCCTCAAGGAGATGCTTCGCCGCTCCGAGAGGTGCTCCATGAAGCATTTGGCGAGCGTCAGCAACTGGCTGGCACGTACCTTGGAACCTGTTGAAACCAGGGAGCTATCGGGGTTGCACAGCGCTGAAGTCTAGGAGGATCTGGCATGACGACTGGGCAGGATCTCCTTCCCAGCTTCCCAGCGTGACAATTCTGACCCCGTCAGGCAATCAAGGACCCTTTTTACTGACCAGAAGTATCTAATTGAGCAGGCCTGTATATAGTATACTAAGCAATGATGTTGTTCCCCGGAGCATCTGGGCTTTCAGGCTCTGCCGAGATGGTCGCCGCTGTGCCACCCCTTCGGCGGCAGGCGGGCGCGGTCGCATGCGCGGGGGACATGCTGCGGCGTTCGTAACAAGAAGCTACTAGCAACGAAGGGCATCGCTACTATTACTAGGAGCAAGAAGCTACAAGCCGGTTTGGGGCTTGGTTTTCAGGTGATGATTGCTCTTCAAGTTGACGATCCCTGGTAGAGCAAGTGAGAGCAAGCGAGAGAGAAGCATTCCCAAAAATTCAGCAAGGGCCCATTGGCACATGGGCCTCAAGTTTCTGAAGCAACTCCCTTGGGCCTAAACATGGATTAAACACAATGTTGAAAGATAACTATCCAAGAAGTCAAGAAAAGATTACAACACACAATCTAAAACCCACTGCAAAAAAGAGCACTGCTTACATAGTTCCATGAGCATCCTCCCAGACTGACTTGAATCTCCTGCCGCGGAAGTAGGTGGATGACTTGGTGATGAAGGCTGCACAGGAGCTTCTGGTGCGCCAGCATGCCGGAGCCGTGCCCTGGCGAATCTGAAGCGAGGACGAGTGACCGAGTGGCATGTACAGTAGCCACGAGGGAGTCTTAAGGCATCTTAAGGCTATTAAACATGTAGTATATATAATAAACTATTTGCATTCTCTAGTTGGATAGATGGAAGATTCTGGAAGATGCCAAGTTCCAAACTGACCAAATCACCCTTTCCAACCGGTGAGAAGAAGCCACACGGGAGAACCGCGGGTGTGCTTGGCGGGTGCCACGCGGCCACCGGCCACCGACCTGGCCGCTCAATTCACGCAGATCAGGCAGTGAGCGGCCAGGAAGTGGGTGCTATTTGTGAAGCAGTGAAGGTGCTGGGCTTGAGGAATGATCTCTTCCTCACCTACGTGAGGCCGCGGTGGGCGGAACTGATTTCTCTAACTTCTGCGCGTTGCGCGAAGCGAAGAAGTTCTGCGTTGGGTGCAGCAAGGTTTCTGCGCGGGGTGGGCAGAACTGAAGCTAGGAAGAGGGGGGGGATGTTTTGCATCGTTTTACATCCCATATATATATATATATATGTATGTATGTGTGCTGGGTTCTGAATGTTGATCATTGCATGTGAAATCGAGAGATTGCCTGGAGACCGATTTTTGCGTCGGAGGGTTTCAACGACCCTTCATGACCCCTCTGGCGCCATCGGCAGAACGCAGGCGTTTGCTTCGAAGAGATTGGGAGATGATTTGGACGCCCAAGGTGCTGCGGTTCGTGATCTTATCATACTCCACCCATGGTGATCTTGTCATACTGATGGGACAGAACAGTCTCTTCTCAAGAGGTAGGGAGAAAGCATGAGAAATCAGATCAAAGCCTGTGGCCCTGTGAGTCACCGCCATTTGATTCAGGCCTTGCTGGATGCCGCGTGGTGTCTCTTCCACTTCGAGCAGACAGACCCGCGTGCCTGGAGAGCCCTGGCATATCGCATGGAGAACGAGTCTTGGTTGGAAGCAGGGTCGGCATGGGTCGTGTGGTTGAAGTAGGGTTAGAATATAGTGAAATCCTGTCCATGCAGTGTGAAGAAACCGGGGACCATATGAGACTCAATTGAGCAAAACAACAGCCCATCGGCTTGAACAAAGGGGGTTCTCATGCAGCTTCTTTACAAGCCATCGGTTTTGCCTGGCCTGGGTGACCAGGAGCGCTAGCACACATTCGTGACAAGTTGGGTCAATTCGGAACCTTCAGTCTACTCTTACTGTCACTTTGACGCGGTGACGTGTTTCAGTGCGACTGTCGCACGTGCCACTGTCGGTGCCAGAAAAGCTCACAGGAGCTGATGGTTTTGTCTCCCAGCGGCCTCACCTCGACCCTGGACGTCTTCGCCCATGTGCGTCGGCCCAGCGACGACAGCGCCTTGCACGAGGGTCTGTGCGAGCGACTGGCGGAAGTGGTCACAAGCTTGTCGCCAGCAGATCTGACGTGCTTTGGACCGAACAAGGAAGGAGCTTGGGCTTGGCGACCTTAACTGGTGGCTAGCTGGTTTCTCTTTGTTTTGTCCACCACACCTTCTTGTGAGGCTCATCGTTAGGTCCCGCCATGTTCTTTTGCATGACAATGGGCTGGGAGATGCAATTAACAATTCTTGCGTGCACTTGCTTGATTCAAGTGTGTGCCATATACCACAATGAACTGAAGATCCTGCTTCACTTCAAAATTTGGAACCCCCCAAAACCTCAACGCACTGGCAGAAACATGTCAAATTCCCCACTATCGCGGATTCCACCTGAGTCAAGATAGCCATGACCATTGGGATCGGATCCACCTGAGACGCCTGTGCTCCACCCTCAGCTCGCTGCCCACCACCCCCAGCGCCGCCGAGCGGCGCCTCGCCA